CAAAGAGGACCCATACCTTTAGATGAGAGGCTGTGGCAGTCGGCACTCAGAGAAGAGTCTTACAGGAACTGTCTTTCGATTGTGGAATTAACAATCTGTTTTCATTTAAAGCTGAACAAATCTAATATGATTTATCAAAATCTAAAACCTCAATGCATAAAGTCAATAGCTGCTAAGAATACTAACTGTTAACAAAGACTTCCCTCTCTACTTCTCCTCAAAAATTTCGAGAGTCTAATCTACTCAGATCATAACAGCAACAAGAGCAGCGCCTCAGAGTGTTAGAAACCTTTTCATGTCCCTCTCTTATGCAAATGGATGACAGGAAGATCTGAGAAAAAAAGGTGTTAATTTTGGATAATTATGGTGACTGTGCAGCAGCACAGCTGTCTGAAAGTATAATTAACTGTCACAGTTCATTTCATTTGGTCAGAGTCAAAAAATGTTCAGTCTTTTTAAGTTGTTGTCAGTGTTTAATTATTGTCCTCAATTTGGTATCAAAATTCCTTTGGGGTGTCAAGAAGTGAGGCTGGGCCAAAACTCATTTAGCCGGAGCCACATCAATATTGTCAAAGCTTTTTAAAATATTCAGATTTTTTTTTTATTTGACACATTGAAAACAGCTTTTAAAACGCTGAGAGAAAACACTTATCACAGAAAACTGTACTCTGATTGGTGCATTGCTACTTGTGGAATGTGGGACTGAGAAGTGAGCATGGGGTGGTGATGGGGCAGTGGATAAGACGCATGGCTTTGGTGTGAGAGACCTGTGTTCAACTCTTCACTGTGACACATCCACCAATGTGTCCCTGAGCAAGACTCTTAACCCCTAGTGGCCCGTAGGCGTGCAACCTCTGACATACTTTGTAATTGTAAGTTGCTTTGGATAAAAGCATCAGCTAAATGAATAAATGTAAATGTAGCAGACAGGTGAGAGGGCTCCAAGAACGCTTCGTAGGGCTGCCAGGCAGTGATTTCGAGAATACAATTCTGAACAGGGAGGCAGCATTTTCAAACACAGGTGGCAGACTAGGGCAAGGCAGAGACACAAGATCATTTAACGCATGTTGAAACAATACTAGACAAAAGGCAATCTACTTTCATTTAAATTCAAGACTTGGCCGTAGCGTTGGTCACCACCGGGGTTCAAGTTATAATCTGAGCTTCATGGGGGTTTCTAATATAGACTACTAACTAAAATTACTGGCGGAGATAAATAAATACATAAATAGGGCTCAGATTAGGGGTGTGATGGCACACTTGGGTCACAAGAACCAGATGAAAAGATATTTTAACAGTATTTTTTAATAAATATAGTGGCTGTTGGTGGAGATGTGCAGCCATTCTGTCAGTCAATAGGTGCACATCGTAGTTCATTAGGAAAACATGTTCACATTCAATATAGTTGTTGTTGATAAATTAATTAGTGACCCCCACAGATGCATGGTTTTACTGCTTCCATGGGAGCTCAGACCCTCCTTATGGGACCTGAGCTCCCACTGCAGTGTTTCACACACAATGACAGCGGTGTTCAAGAGGGAGAGAGAACGAGAGAGGTAGGGGTGAGCGTGTTGGCACGCTTTGGCACGCTGTCTGAAAGCGTCAGTTATGACGCATTGAGATGAGAATGTGTTGGTGAGAGAGAGAGAGAGAGGGGACCAGCGGGAGGAAGTGCTGCGTGAATGCACTACGGCGCTCTGCGATCAAATACGATTTTAAATAGGCTTAGTAAAAAATCACGAAAATCAGTCTGTGGCGGCCAGCGTTTATATTGTGGCTGCACTGGCTACCACTGGCTACCTGGTTACCACTGAAGATGAACTGGCGAGGAGTGGATCGGTGTATTTCACTGAGCGGGTCGATTGCTGGATAGGCAACAGATGTATATTTCTTAAAAACAGATCTTAATTGTGCATATTGTAAAAATGAAGAGTCCTACAGGCCAAACTGATTTGTCAACTCAGCAAATACAACAATATATCCATCTCTTACAACCTGTCCAATCTGAGTGATATTTTTTTGTTTCCAGGTGCTCTTTGCCAATGTTATGCCTCCTGCAGTGAACCCTGGGTTATTCCATATCAGGCAGGTAATAAAGGTAGTAAAGCACTGTTAATAATACCCAGTCGTTTATGTATACGACCTTTATTATTTCACAAGAGAATTCAATAATCAGGTTATCCATTTTTGCTTTTCATTTGGACTTTTATTTGGATTTCTTTGAACCACTGCAGAGGAAACTTTAATGGTATAGTTGATATAAGAAAGGAGAACCTGTGTAATGTAATGCTAGGTGTTTTCAGTTTAGTTTTTTTTTAATCTTTTTTAATAATCTTCTACATCCATGCACCACTTTTATTATGCAATAAGAAGCTACTTTTTTATGTCTTTATCTTAATACATGGTTTTATTTTTAAAAAAGAGCTTTACACACAACCTTATCAGGGCAAATGATAATGACCTGTATTGTTATACATTTAAGTAGTCTTGATTTGGGTGTGTACAGTGGTTTTACATTTAAAAGGGTTGTAAATCTAGTTCAACTACATTTTAGCACGCCATAGTCAACTTGAATCAGGTAATTTCACAACATAGATTTAAGATGAACATGAAGTCAGAGGAATGCAATCACCTTATTATTACACACAGAATTGATTCAACTATTTATTTTAGTTTTTGCTTAATGATGCTTTTTTGACCAACAATAGTGCATTGATTATTCACAAATGGAGATTGACATTTACCTCTCCTTCACTCTGTAGGGCAAAAGCCTGCAAAAAACAGGCAAAAACATAAAATAAAAAGTGTGCATCGTGTTTCAGTGTCGTCAAGGTAATGTGATATTGTGGCAAGGGTATAGCATTTTGAGCCCTTGCAGCCTCTTGCACTCAATCACTTTCCAAGTGATGTCAGTAAAGTCTGTGAGGGTCCAGGGCTTAGGGGGGACATTGGTACTGGGCCCTCATTTCTCTAAAAACATAATTCCTTGTTCCTTCTCTCCCTACATGGTTTCCTTGCGTCTCTCCATGAATCCCTGGTGGGTGGGACTAAGACAAAGGGAAAAGACCCAAGTGAGGGAAACGTGGATGGAATTAAGAGACTTGAGAAGCACCCTATGTGTATTTAGAGCCAGTGAGCAACAGACTTTCAAAATAGGTTAATAAAAATAAAAACTGCATTAACGTGATAAAAAATAATTGTCAGTGTTAATGCGATACTTGCCCAGTCCTAAAAAGAAGTGCATATCAAAGTAAAACTAGGTTGCCAACATTTTGTACTTCTGCGACAAGCTGACGGCGGCATGTTTCTGACTTCTTTATAGGGTTATGTGCTCAAACAGACAATACACACAGTACACAGGCTCAGGTTGGGAATGGCAGAGAGAGAGAAGGGAGTTCCTGTCAGTGGGATTTAAGATGGCTGCTGTCATCCAGTTGACCAATCAGGAGGAAGCAATCAGCTCTGCAGGACCAATCCAGTGTGCCCACCTGTTCTCCATTACCTGTATACACACACTCTAAGGGAGGAGACAGCTGCCAGTGCAGGGTGAGAGATAAATACATACAAAATATGACCCCAGGGTCATAACACCTCCCCACCCAAGATCAAACATTTTCCTCTTAAGGGAAAAAGTTTGATTCAACAAGACCTAGACAGCATTAGCCATAACGTTTTCTAAACCTTTTCTGTAACGAATACGCAATCGGATGTTTGATCACCTTGGGAGAAGGGAAAACTTTACCAACAGCCAAATCATTCCCGAGGATCAAGTCCTGCTATAGGAAACTGAGGGAGCATAGCAAATCTAAATTTGCCCGACACAAATCTGGAGGACAACTGAATGAAGTGAACCGGCACCTGCACTGTACACATCACATTTTAACTCCCTGTGCCAACTCATCTGCACCACAGGACTCAGCTGAGAGGGGTAAAACACCATCATGGATCAGTGATTGTTTGGCTCCAGTATCCCGCAGAATAGTAGCCTAATAGGGACTTTTTCCTCACCCATCAGGGAAACAAAACCCTGTGAAATAAAAGGCCCAGAAGCCTCGTCAAAGTGGTCTATTGTAGCATTAACCAGATTAAAGTTTTTGCGGGGTGTAGTGTGGATGAGCCCTATTGATGAGGGTGTTTTGGCATTTTTACTGTGCTCCTTCCCTTTAAGAGAAGGGCAGGCAGCGATGAGACGTCCTTGCTCATGACAGTAAAAACACTCTCGGGTTTCTGTGGCGGCAGTGGGGTTTCGACGATAAAACACTTTTGTGAGTTAGGGTAAACAGCGGCAACTATTAAACTGGGTGCAAAACAGCTGCATTGGGATTGGGATCCCACAGGACCCAACACAAATCGCGCGGGAGCGGGCGGTTTTAACTGTGCTGCGGGCAGGAACGGGCGGTTAAAAAACAACTGCGGGTCCCGCAGTAGCGCTGATAAGATGGAGTCAACAAACGAAGTTGGAAAGAAGATAAAACCGAAAAAACCCGCACGGTGAAGACAATGAATAGAATAGAATAAACATTCTGTATATGCCTGAAATATGGGGATGGTGCTTATAGGAAATGCACAGCCAATGTGCTAAATGTTTCCCAAAGTGTGTTGGAGCAACATGAAGCAGAAATACTCACAAAATCACAGAATTTTCATAGTTCTATAAATTTACCCGCTATGCCGGTTATAGGTAAACAACAAAGCCTGGCGGTTCTAGTGTTAAGTTACTCAGCATCCCGTCCAGCTTCTCAGTGCACATTGTCCAACACCAACTTTGGTTTATACTAAAATTGACAATGTTTCTCTATACTTTAATAAAGCTCTTCCATGTTGAAATCAGATGCACAGAGTCTAAAAGAGATCGAGTTATCAGTCATCTGTCATCAATTCTCTGCAGTCTGTTTGAAATAAAATGCATTGTTCCCAAGCAAAAGTACTTTACAATAGAAGAATACAGAAAGGACACTAGATGGTGACCTGGGGCCATAGTAAATGAAGGACTCATGACAGAATCTTAATATATTTTATTCAAAAGATATTAATTAATGATTGATGGCCTTAAGCTAGATGGATATTACACTGATTTACACTGCACAGTTTGGCATTCTGTGGATGGTTCAGCAATTATCTGGAGACCAATAGGGATGTAAAAGTCTTTCAGATCATATAATGTAGTAAGTAATGTAACGTAAGCCAACTGAAACTACACTCTTTTGTTGTTTCTGAAACTCCTGTTGCTCTGGGCTGCAGCTGCAACAGATGACACAAGCATTAACGTTACAGAAACTACAGAAAATGATGCTAAGGCTATTTTAATGTTGCCTGGTAAGTGAAAGTAGCACAATCACGGATCAATGAATACAGCAGAAGAGATAACTTAGGCACTCTATGTGTGTGTGTGTGTGTGTGTGTATGTGAGAGAGAGAGAGAGAGAGAGAGATGCTTTGTCACGTATTTAAGCAGATACAGTGCATAACCTAAGTTTGACAATGGTTTTGGAAGATAAGTGTACTTGAGAAGTTGTGGACCATTTTTTGTATGCTCACTGTTAAGTTAATAATATTCTGTGCTAAATGTGTGTTGTTGAGAGATCTGCACAAATGTTTGTTGTTAATCCTAGTAGTAGTAGTAGTATCCATTATTGTTAATAGTAGTTGCAACTTGCACTCTTATATGTGCATTAAAAATTACCAGCTGATAAAAACCTGTGCTCCAGGGACCAGATTCATGTAACATCTAAGGTTAAATGTTTAGCACATACGTGGTGGGTTCAAACAAAGGGTAATATGTCTTGTTGTTGTTTAACACATCTAGATGTTAATATCAGGAAATAAAAGCTGAAATCCTGAACTCTTGTCTCATACTCATCTTTTGATCTTAAAGCTGCTGATCAATTTTGAAAGTTTTATCTAATATTACACACAATTGAATAATCACACATTGAAGGCTTTGGGTGTCTCAATTTTTCACCAGTTTGCTCAAACAGGTAGAATGTGAGTACGGATGTAGCAGCCCATTCTCTTCTCAGGGTGTCCAATACCAAAGCTTTCAGAAAAAGTGACAAAACATGGTCATTTGACGCTAAAGGTACTCTTTCAGTCACCCGCACAGACCGGAAGTACTTGCTTGCTAGCTACGTTTGCTTTAAAGGTGTTTACAGTCCTCTGAAGCCCCCTACCCTTACCACAACCTTACCCTTACCACAATGGCTAACCCTACAGCTAGCAGGTAGGGTTATGGTGCTGCAATGTAGCGGTGGCGTTTCATAAGGACGCTGAAGGGTACCTTTAGCGTATAATACTCATGCAATGTCATGCTGTCTGAAAGCATCAGTTATGATGCACTGAGATGAGAATGCGTTGGATGTAGATGTGCATACAGATGTGGGTGAGAAAGGGGCAGAATTTAAGTGGGAGGGGAAGAAGTGGTGGTTCTTTGGCATTGGCAGTCTTTTGCTTGGTTTTTGTAAAACTTACTAATGGTTGTTTGGAGAGGACATTGCGTTTCAGGAAAGGCTACTATCTTCAGTTCTTCCTGGAGTTTTTCCAGAGTGATAGTGTGCAGATATTTGTGTTTAGGTTCATCAGGAACATTGTCACCCCAGTACGCGCCTGCGATCCATTTCTTCTTTTTGGAGAAGCAGCAGAATGCTGACCAGAGCTTGGAGGGAATATTAACCCTGTTATTAAGGATGTTTGTGGTGCTGGGTTGAGCTCCAGTTACCACATAGGCTTCAGTCACACCCTCCTTGTTGGTGCAGTATTTGTCCATAACACATTTGATGCACTGCTCCATTCTGTTCCAGCTTCCGCCGTTGAATGTTTCTTCCTGTGGAACGATGTTGGTTAGAGTAAAGGTGGACATTTTGACAGATTTGCTGAACCCATAAGAGTTTGCAATTAAATGGCCCCTGGTAAAGCTTCGGTCTTTGTAATCCTTGTACCCAGCCTGGTTGTTGTAGGTCCTGTCTCTGTCTACATCCAACATGTTCTTGTTCTTGTCATTTTTGTTCTCAAGCTGTAAGAGTTAAAGATGTAAGTTACTGATGCAGGCAGGGTAGTAGTAAAATGCACAGTAAGAATGTCCTTTAGCTTTAAACAGTAGCATTTAAAAAAAGCTGCACAGAAAGGCTCAGCCTGATCGCTCTTCTTCATCTGTGCTATTAGACATTGGACATTATCCTCACCAATTGAACAAAAATATATGTTGTTTATGTAGCACATTATTACAAACCATATTAACATTGTAGTGGGCGTACAATGGTAGCAAAGGAGGAAGTCAGAATACGTATTATAGGCAGAAAGTCTGCAGAAGGAGGCAGGATGGGGTAGTCAGATGGGTCAAACCCCAGACTTTCACTGGCGTTTGAGTCCCATGTGAAATTAATTGAATGTTGAGTTATTTGGGGTTTTAACTTAAATAGTTTTACTGGCTTCCACCAATAGGGGGCACTAATTTAGGAAACATGCTTGGGAGGCATGGATAAACGACCAAGGTTGTGGTTAGGTTGGAGCATTTGTTGACTGGGTGACATGTTCCTTTATCACATACACACTGTAATTTTTTTCTGCCTCAGTCCCAGATACACTGTCCTGCTGCCCCAAATACTCACTAGAGCTCCAAAATTTGGATTACTCCGTCCCTGTATATAGTCCCCAAAAAAAGTATTTCCTTCTGTTTAACGTTTGCTTTTTCTAAAGACCTTTTTTCTGAACTTCTCCAGGACAATTTCAGTAATGAGCTAGCTGGTATGACAGACAGGGATCATGTCATACATTAATAAGTTCCTCTTTGCATAAGTCTGAATTTAAAGATGTGCAACAATTTAAAATAAGTTGAGAAGAAAACGTTAATCTATAAATCTAATAAAAGCTGCCACAGTCACCAGCCAGCAGTGACAAATATTTACCTTTTTAGTATAATGCAACTTAGATTATTGAGTTTAAATCATTCACAGTAATGTCATCCGACCATACTCAACCTTTGCTACCTGCCTTATCCTTTAATTTCAGTTAATAATCATACAATGTAATTCTATAGCAGTGAGGTGTATGGGACTGTATCACAGCCTCGGTAGGAGAGTAGTAATGGTGTTAAAGTGAGAACCAGAAATGAACTGGTGACAGTTGCTTTAATATAAGAGAGCTCAACCCAGGTTGAATAAGCTTTCGGTAGACCAGCTTCCTACATGCATCTCTTAAAAAAAGGAAGTGTGTATGCAATTGTATGCAGCATTTAGATGATTATTAATCTTAGTAGCGGTACATTACTGTTTATTTTGTTTTTATGAGTCAATAAGAAAAACACACCTGTGGCTCTATCTTCCAAGGGGTCTTTTGTCGTCCCGTGTCTTTTGACCCCCTGTACTTTAAAGCAGAATACACTGGAATCCTGTTCTTGGTGTCATACAGCGTCAAAAACATTTTCTCATCTTCCAAAGTCTGGCAAATGAATTTGTATCGGTTCTGGTTCAGAATGTTCCCGCTCTCCAAGATGCGTGGGACATGTGGTGGCTTTGCTTCAAGGAGAAACTGGTCACAGTCGGACACCGACTCAACAACTTCAGCCACTGTGGGAACAATGGGCAAGAAGGCAGCTAGGAAGAAGAGATACCACATCTTCATGGATGTCCTCGTCAAATACTGTGTGTCTTTAGGTCAGAGTAGAGAAAAACAACCATCAAACATTACAGTTTGTTTTCTACAGTTTGAACCACAGCAACAAAGGCACAGTAAATTAAATGTTGGACAGGAGAAATAGAGTTGAACATCTCTTTGTTCAAGCTTTAGATTTCTGCATGGGTTATAGTAAGACCATCTCTTTGGAGGGTGGTGTATTTTATTTCTTTTCTTTCTTTCTTTTTCTTTCTTTTTTTAATATTTCCAAAAACACTGTTACATTTGCCAAACACAGTGGCTGGACCTCATCCTAAAAGTATCTGTAACAGTCTTTGTGTGCAACTGTCTTTGTTCAAGAATGAATGAGCATTGCTAGTAAAATTTCATACAATCATTAATGAGCACTTCAATTAAATGAGAACACTTAGCTAGCTTCCTCTACGTTTCTCTATGTTTCTATGTGACAGGTGCTGTTGTATGAGTAGAGTAAGTTAGGTCTTTTTAAGCAATAGGGCAGTGCATAATGTGTTTGTGTGTGGGTGAGCGAAATGAGAGCGAGTGGCAGAAAGTGACGGTGAAAGTTAGCAGAGGGAAATATTAGCAGTAATTACAAGGTAGGTTAATAAAGTGTGTAATAAATGTACCAGTTCCAGAGGCTGCATTTTCAGGACCACACTCCTAGAAACGCATTTCAATGACCCCAGTTCTCTATTCCCAGGAAGTAACTTAATTAGCTGTATCATGACTACCTACTTGTTCAAAGTTGAGAACATCCTTTTAAACTAATAAAGAGATGTTTCTTTAGGATATTTATGTACACATGAATGCTTGATAATGAAACAGAACGGAGTTGGTCCTCGTATTTTACATTTTTTTAATGTTATTTTCTAAATAAATGTTAAAAGATGTAAATGAAGTAAATTAAGACATAAAAGGCAAACATGAACAATTCTATCTATAATGATTATGAGTTCATATTAACAGGATTTCACTGCTTAGGTGGTGATGCCCAAATAGTTTGAGTGCTGTGTCATGAATGTAAATCATTGTGGATAGCATCAAAACTAACTAAATGACTGTTCCCCAGTGGACTTTTTTTAGCAAGATTAGCTTTTTGAGTATTGTTTAATTATAATCTGCTCTTGCATTTCTAATATTTGTACACAGATAACAAAAAAATGGTCCAAAATGTTGCAAAATTGCATTTCTTCTTCACCCAAATTTGTTTCCATACATATGTTCTGTTGGTGTTTTACCAGATGTGTTTGCGAACGCCAAAAAAAAAAACACTATGTAGAACACTAAATAGTACTTTTTTTCCAAAGGAGCAAATGATTTGAACACAAAGAAATTTAGGAGCACAGTGAAAAATGTAAAAGAAATACAGAGTTTATTACCAAACTATTTATTATATACATATTTACACTACATGTGTGTACTCCTTGTGTGTGTGATGTGAACACCATTGAAGTAATTTGGAAGTGCATGCTATCTGTTCCTTTAAATAATGTAGTAGTTCTTAGCCGGTACCCCCTCAAAGAAAGGATATTTAACTTGAAGACGACTGACTGATGCCCTATGACCTAAGTATCTGACTGGTCTCTACAGTCTAAACACAGTTAAACATTAACTTAAAGCCTTCTTAAGAGAACTAAATGAACTGTCGATAACCAGCTTGGATGTATAACATCTTCCAATGCTTTAATACTATTAGCAATTGATCAAATCAAATTTTGTTTTGTAAAATTAGCAGATGAACGGAAGCCCTAAGCGGTCATACATTTATACATTGTATTTACTCCATTTTCCTATCATAACGAAACTTTGTTTTCCTGAGATAATTACATATGCACAAAGTGATAGTGTAGTATAGGGGGTGGCAAGATTTGAAAATCTGGCATTGGACCAATTTTTTAGGATAATTAAAGAAAGGTTGTGAGTGTACCGGGTTCAGTCAATTGGTATAAAACAATTCTCAATGTAAGAGTTGTGTGTTTGATCCCTACAATAGGATCTTCGCTCCCTCTTCAACAAATTAATTAAGAAGAGACTGCTTCACATGCTCACAATAAAGCATCTGCTGGAGGGTATGTGTTCAGGCGTTCCACATCCATCAACCTATGGATGCTTATTTTCATTTCCCCAGTATCCTCAGGCAGAGGAAAGTCCTGTGCTTCTCATTCAGGGGAAGCCAAAGTCACATTTCCTGACAGCTATTTCATTAAAGCCGCAAACTCTTTTGAATGTTCTGAAAAGTTATGAAGGAAATTCAAAAGAGTAAGTGGCTTGCATGAAAAAACTTTTTGAAATAGCCATTGGGAAATGTAAGAGGCTGATGGATGTGAACCAATCGCCGAGATGCATACACTCGAGCACATGCTTTATTGTGCGTATGTAAAACAGTCTCTTCATTATAATTTGTTGAAGAGGATAAAAAGAAGATATTCACCCACTGTCCAGAATCAAACACACACTCCTTGCCCTTCTTTTGTTTTCTCCCAAACTCGAATTAATTATGTCATTATCCCAGGAAAACAAAGTTCCGTTATCTCGGGAAACCAACATTTGTTATTTCGAGATAATGAAATAAACAACATGAGATCTCGAGAACACAAATTAAATTCACTTGTAATCACGGTAAGACAGAGGAAATAAAATGTATCTTCGGAACAGATCATATACCATTTATTAATATTTTCCACCAACCAAATTTAAATAAATCATATCAGCAACAGATCATATAGTTGACTTATAACTGACTGTCCGCTCATCCGGAAGATCCCATACCTTTAGATGAGAGGCTGTGGCAGCCGGCGTTTGGAGAAGAGTCTTACAGGAACTGTCTTTTGATTGCAGAATAACAATCGGTTTCAATTTAAAGCAGAACAAATCTAAAATGAATTAACAAAATTTGACAGTCAGCCATTAGCTGCTACGAATGCTGGTAACAAAAACTTCCTTCTCTAGGTCTTCTTAGAAAATTTCTATCAAGAAATAAAGATCAAATATAAAAAGTTTAATCTATGGACATCAGAACAGCAACAAGAGCCATACCCAAGAGTCAGAGAACCTTTTTCGTTTACCTCTCTTATACAGGTGGAGATCAGGAAGAACTCAAGAGATCTTCTAAATATGGTAAAACATGAAATACAATTCAGACATTGGTCAAAGCTCAATTCTTCTACGTCAAACTTACAACATGTGATCAGTTACAAACAATGTCGAACTAGCTGCTTTTGTAAGCAAGCCATTGTTATTTTAAAAACATGCATAAGACTGGTATAAATAGAAAGCTAATTGTGGTTGCATTTACACAGGAAATTCACACGCGAGAGACTTTTGTCTCGGTCTGGTCAGCAGGATGTCTGTGGTTACAAGTGTTGCTTTTCTCTGCAGCTGCAGAGCAGTCAGAAAGCATAGCCAACCACATAGTTTGTCATTTGTACAGACTGAATCACAACCAAAGTTCATTTTTAATTTTCATTCTTTTTGTGTTGTTGTCAATGTTTAATTGCTGTGCTTAACATGGTATAAAAATTACTTTGGGGTGGGGAGGGGATGCCAAGAAGTGAGGCTCAGCCATAACTCATAAAGCCGGACTCCTTGACAATATTGTCAAAGCTTTTCAAAATATTTTATAAAACAGATTTTTTGAAAATTTGACACACTGAAAACAGCTTTTAAAACACTCATCACAGAAAACTAATGTGATTAGTGCATTGCTGCTTGTGGATGGGAATGGGCACGAGAGCCAATAGTTAGGTACCAAGTCTATACCAAAGTTCTGAAAACACGACTGTACTCGTTTCTTAGATACAACAGGTACTGGGGATCCAACAGCTCAAAAAGGGCGGCTACAGCAACAGCTCCTCCACAACTTGTTGAAAAGAAAGTCATAAATTATAATAATAATAATAATAAATTAGGCCAAAAAAGTATGCAAATTGTGCCATCAACTTTTCAGATACGTTTTAATTAGCGAAGCATCTGACATTTTGATTGAGTGAATTTCAAATCAGGTTATATTAGCAATGTACCCAAAGCATTATCCTTGTCATATCCTTATTCTGAAACATCTGGTACTATTATTTTTGTTTCAGACAGGTGGCATTACTGTGTCGCTTAGCCAGCTATGATCCGTATGATGTTTTCAATGGCTAAAGGCTAATGCTTTTAGGCTAACATGATGTAAAAATAGCTCGTAGTAGGCTACCATCCTTACCGTTACGAAAACATAACATTGGGGTTAAAAAATTCCACTAAGCTATGTTAGGGTTTGCTGTATATACCGAGGAGTGGATAATGGGCTGGTTAAGTTCACTGAGTGAGTTGATCACTGGATGGGCCACTGGTGTGAGACGCTGTAGATGGTAATCAGCCAAATGATGGATTATTCATTTAGCTGACGCTTTTATCCAAAGTGACTTACAATTGCTATACATGTCAGAGGTCGCACGCCTCTGGAGCAATGAGGGGATAAGTGTCTTGCTCAGGGACACAATGGTGGATGGGTCACAGTGGGGGATTGAACCTGCAGCGTTACTTGCATATTACTGTTTTAGAAAAGTAATTAGTTACACTACTAGTTACTGGAAAAATCAGAGAACACAGAGCCCGACCGATTTATTGGCCGGCCGATATGAACTAATTGCATTTAATCGGCATAGAGTCAGATCCTTCACTCATGTCATGGGTGTTGACCAGAGGGCGTGCCAATGTGCAGGCGACACATGCCATGCTGGCCGACCAAATACTGTGTGTGGAGCACAAACCCGCACTCCTTTATTATTGTTCTTGGTGACTGCCAAGTACTCCCCAAATATAGATAGTTTGTGTCCAACCAGAGAGGGGAACACTTTGGATCATTGTTACACCACAGTTAGCAGTGTCTATCATGCCGTTACACTTGCTCTACTGGGACACTCTGATCATGTCATGGTCCACCTGATTCCTGCTTAGTGAGGACATCAAAGAAATGGACCAGTGAAGCTGTAGAGGATCTTCAGGCATGCTTGGACTGCACTGGCTGGGATGTTTTCAGGACTGCTACCAACAATCTGGATGAGTTTACAGAGGCTGTGACTTCCTACATCAGCTTCTGTGAAGACAGCTGCATTCCAACACGCACCAGGATGAGTTATAACAATGACAAACCCTTGTTCACAGCTAAGCTCAGACCGCTGAGGTGGGAAAAGAAAGAGGCATTTCGGAGTGGCGACCGGGCCAGGTTTAAGGAGACAAAGTACAGGTTTAGCAAGGCGGTGCAAGATGCTAAACAGCTGTATGCAGAGAGACTACAACACCAGTTCTCAAGGAATGACTCTGCTTCTGTCTGGAGAGGATTCAGTCAGATCACCAGCTACAAACCTAAATCCCCCCACTCCATGAACGACTCACGCCTCGCCAACGAGATGAAACAGTTTTACTGTCGCTTTAAAAGACAATGGGACAGACCTGACACCATTCCCAGTCACACCACTGACTGGTTACAGTTAACCATCTCATTCCCTACCTCCTCCCCCTCTCTTACCATCCTGGGAAGTCAACAGACTGTTCAGGAGGCAGAAACCTCGCAAAGCTACTGAGCCGGACACTGTCTCCTCATCCACCCTGAAGCACTGTCTCCGGGGTTCACAGACATTTTTAACACCTCACTAGAGTCATGCCTGCTTCAAAGCCTCCACCATCATCCCTGTCCCCCAAAAAAGGACCACGGGACTAGAGACCCATCGTCTTTTGAGCACCTTGTGTTTTCCCACCTTAAATCCATCATAAACCCTCTCCTGGATCCCCTACAGTTCGCCTACAGAGCCAACAGGTCTGTAGATGATGCAGTTAACATGGCCCTTCACGTCATCCTCCAGCACCTGGACTCCCCAGGAACCTACACCAGGATCTTGTTTGTAGATTTTAGCTCTGCTTTCAACACTGTCATCCCGGCCCTGCTGCAGGACAAGCTCTCCCATCTGACACCACCCTCATTGTCTCATCTCTGGTAGGAATGAGTCCGTCTACAGGTGGGAGATCGACCATCTGGTGTCCTGGTGCGGCCAGAACAGTCTGGAGCTCAACACTCTGAAGACAGTGGAGAATGTTGTGGACTTCAGGAGGAGTCCAGCCCCACCCTCCCCCATCATCCCTGTGACTACCCCGTCGCCACTCCTTCCACTTCCTGGGCACCATCATCTCCCAGGACAAGTGGGAGCTGAACATCACCTCCCTCACCAAGAAGGCCCAGCAGAGGATGTACTTGCGGCAGCTGAAGAAGTTCAGCCAAAGACAATGATGGCGCACTTCTACACCGCCATAATTGAGTCCATCCTCACCTCCTCCATCACCATCTGGTAAGCTGCTGCCACTGCCAGGGACAAGGGCAGGCTGCAGCGTATCATTCGCTCTGCAGAGAAGGTGATTGGCTGCAATCTTCCTTCTCTTCAGGACCTGCACGCCTCCAGGACTCTGAGACAAGCAGGAAAGATTGCAGCCCCCCCCCCCTTCAAATAATACAGTCTTCTCTGCACATGTAAATATCACTTCATGTCATATCATCCACGAACCTGGCACATATTTGTTGGTAACTGTAAATCATTGTTGTTCCATTGTTATTTTTATTTTTATATTTTTATATTGTCAGTTGTATTATTTTTCTCTATTCTTCTGTTATTCTTATATAACTCGCTTTTGTGTATTACATAATTATATATTTCTACATCTATTTATGTCAGTTGTATGTCTGTCTGTGTGTAGCACCTTATCACCAAAGCAAATTACTTAATATAACAAAACACTACTTGGCAATCAGTTCTAGCGAACAGTCCACATTTGTCCCTAGTTCATCACTTCTAAATATTCTCTAAAATCACATAATGTTACAGCAGCTGCCTGTTGCTAAATTTGGCACAAAGCTAATGCCGTGTTTATCAGTGGAGGAGCGCTAACGCCGTAATTAGCCATTAAACTATAGGTTCTGGTGTATTCTAAATATATCTGCCAGCCGCCTGTCTGCAGTTATAGTTGGCGTGTCTGAAAAGATTAATACAGAGCGGACATGCAAATAAGCATCAGCTGAACAAGAATCCAACACGTCTTCCTGTAGTACACCTCCTAGTAAGTGTTAATGCATTTTAAGAACTGAACCTCTACTCCTGTGTCCTGTATTTATGTCCTCAACCTGCTCCACACTTAACCAAACCTGACAACCATGTCCAGCTTCTCAGTGCACGTTGTCCAACACCAACTTTGGTTTATACTAAACTTGGATACAGTCTGTTTAGAACAAAAGACATTGTTCCCAAGCAAAAATGACCAAAACACCACCAAATCAGTAGTGTGCTGATTTGTGGGCTTCTTGTTCTAATCTCTGCTCCAGTCATCACTTAGTTTACTGCTTTACATTAGAAAAACACAAAAAGGACACTGGGTGGTGCCCTGGGACCACAGGAAATGAAGGGCTTATGACAGAATCTTAATATATTTTATTCACAAGAGATCAATGAAGGATAGATGAACTGCACAGTTTGGCATTCGGTGTCTGGTTCAGCAACAAAACTATCTGAAGACCAATAAGGACATGTTTAGAAAAGAATTTTAATAAGATAATATAATGTATCTTCTGTATGATGAGCTGACAATAAAGATAAAATCATCACTACACACACACAGTATGAGGCGTCTGCGGTTTATTTCATTCACATCCTACAAATCATGTATTTGTCTTCCATCTGAAGCCATGCAAAGGACACTTTCTCTTATCCAGTATTCCTGTCATCGTAACAAATGAAATCAAACAAAAAGTAAAATGTTGTATATGTTCCTCAAACAGGAAGAACCTCAAAGAAACATCTGTACTCAGATGTGGTAAAGAGAGAGGCAGATGTAGACGTGGCGGGACTAGATAAGATGGACTTGATGTTGTAGATAGAGGGGCAGATGTCATGGTGGGATGGCCAGATGTGGGTGTGAATGGGGCAGTTAAGTGGGACGGGAAGAAATGGTTGAAGTAGAGTGGGGGCATGGGCAGTCATTGAAGTCAGTGAAGAAAACAGTATCAGGACACTTTGTTTCAGGAAACACAGTTATCCCCAGTTCTTGTTTGAGTTCTCCCAGAGTCTTAGTGGGCAGAGTTTTCTTTTCAGATAACTTTTCTGGAACATTGCCGCCCCAGTGTGCGTTTGCGATCCATTTCTTCTGTTTTGGGTTGTAGCAGCAGAATGCTGACCAGAGCATGGAGGGAACATTAACCGTCTTAATGAGAGTGTTTGTGGTACTGGGTTGTGCTCCAGTTACCACATAGGCTTCAGTATCAGTCTTGTTGGTGCAGTGCCGGTCCATAATACATTTGATGAACTTCTCCATTGTGTCCCAGCTTCCCTCATTGAATGTTTGTTCTTGTGGAACGATGTTGGTCAGGGTAAAGGTGGACTTTTTGTCAGAATTCTGGAAGCCATAAGCGCTTGGAATTAAATGGCCCCTGTTATACCTCGTTTGGCCTTTGTAATCATTGTTCCCAGCCTGGTTGTTGTAGGTCCTGTCTCCGTATACATCCAACATGTTCTTGTTCTCGTCCTCTTTCTCAAGCTGTAAGAGTTAAGTTTTAAGTTACTGATGCAGGCAGGGTAGTAGTAAAGTTAAATAAGTGAACAGTAAAAATGTCCTTTAGTTACACCATCAACATTGTCTTCCAGCTGCATGCGTCAAGTGACTATTTTAGTCATGATTAAGTGATCATGCCAACTAGTTTAATTAACCCAAGATGTGTGAAAAATAAATAATAATAATAATAATAATAATAATAATGTCAGTGATGATATAGCTGCGGAAGTCTGATTTTAAAGATATGCCACAGTTTAAAATAAGTCTTAATTCATAAATATAATAAAAACTACCACAGTTGTGTTAGCTGTGGCAGTTAGTGGTAGCAGTGACTAGACCAGAGTAGAGAAGCTAGTCGGTGTTTTTCTCACAATAACAAAAATATATCATCATATATATATATATATATATATATATATATCATCATAATATATCACCTGCCTTATCCTTTAATTTTTATTAATAAGCATACAATGTAATTCGGTGTAATTCTATAATATCGCAGTGAAGTTTATGGGGCTACACTTCAGCCTGAAGTCTTAAAAAGAAAATCAGTCTTAATTTGCATATAATTCAGCATCATAGATTTCTTAATAGTGCTTTAATCTCATCTCGATCACGTGAACCAAATCTCGAATCTTGTCTCATCTCATGGGTTAAGTGTCTCGTCACACCCCTACTGTTGACAGTTATTTTAATATGAAAGAGCTTAACCCAGGTTAAATGAGCATTTGGTAGACCAACATCCTACATGAATCTCTTAAATAAAGGAAAGTGAAAGTAGTTGTGGTGTACAATTGTTTGCAGTATTTAATGATTATAAATCTTAGTAACAGTACATTGCTGTTTATTTAGTTTTCATAAGTCAATAAGAAAAACACACCTGTGGCTCTATCTTCCAATGTGTCTTGGGTCTTCCCGTCTCTTTTTCCCCTCTGTACTTCAAAGCAGAATACACTGGAATCTTGTTCTTGGTGTCGTAGAATGTCAGAAACCTTTTCTCATTGTAAAAAGTCTGACATATGAATTTGTATTGGTTCTGGTTCAGATTGTTCCCGCCCTCCAAGATGCCTGGGATTGCTGGAGGCTTCGCTTCAAGGAGAAACTGGTCACAGTCGGACACTGACTTAACAACTTCAGCCACTGTGGGAACAATGGGCAGGACGGTAGCGAGGAGCAAGAGATACCACATCTTCATGGACGTCATCGTCAAACTGTGTGTCTTTAGGTCAGAGGAGAGAAAATCAATCATCAAATATTACAGTTTGTTTTCTTCAGTTTGAACCACAGCAACAAACTTACAATAAATTATCACAAGTAGTAGAGGTGAACATTTATCTTGTCAACCTGTATATTTCTGCATGGAGCTGTAGAGTGACTTTAGCAGTTCTATTTTGCTCTTATTAAAGTTTGAGAAAATTTACACGAACCTTATCATCCTAAAAGTCTTTTCTTTTATAACATATAATGTAGCAAATAAGTATGTAAAACAGCCTAACTGGGTTATAAATTGGTTTTCCCTGTCATACTTGTAATACTAGGACTAACATTCTACATTCTTGTTCAGTGTTGAAAACACAAGCTTAGACTAAACTCTGTTCTTCACACTTAAGTGTATATCCGTATAGTTAAATTATACTTGTGTTTTCAGATGATTCTGAAAAACTGGTTGTTAGGTGGTGACTATGGGTGAGCTGATGATAGTAAAGCAAATTAGTGATTAAAACTGGTCTATTAAACAAATGAGGAGACATTTCTATTGGATATTAATGTACAAATGAAACATAATGGAGCTGGTTCTCATACTGTCTATTTTTTAACGTTATTTTCTATAAATAAATGTTAAGAGCTATAAATAAAGTAAATTAAGACACAAAAGGTAAACATGAACAATTCTATCTATGATGATTATGAGTTCATATTTACAGGATTTTCCCTGCTTAGATTAAGCAAGTTTTGCTTTTTGAGTATTGTTAAATTATAATCTGCTCTAGCTTTTCCAATTTATGTACACAGATAAAAGAAAATGGTCCAAAATGTGAAATAGCATGGTTTTTTTTGGAAAACATACAAGTTTAGGGGGGAGGATCCCCATACACCCCACCCAAATTTGACTGCATACATATGTTCTGTTGGTGTTTTATAACCAGATATAAAGCAGGGCGCACTTTGTAAGCCCAAAAAAAAACAATTTCCTTCTCCCTCTGCTGCTGTAACTCCATCCCAGGGGACAAACTAAATAGTACTTTACAGGGCTCTGTATGCTAAACTGATTTCCCAAGGAGCACATGATCTTGAACACAAAGAAATTTCAGAGTACAGTGAAATATGTTCAGGTAACAGAGTTTTAAAACAAACAATTGCTTATATAGCCTACATATACTACATGTATAAGCTCGACTTCTTTTTGTGTGCAATTATTATTTGAAGACGATTGCAGTACTTTGAAAGTGAAGAACCTGTACACTCGACATGGGCCTTTAAATAATGTAGTTAGCTGGTAGCCCCTCAAAGCAAGGATATCTTACTTGAAGACGACTGACTGATGCCCTATGACCTAAGTATCAGATTGGTCTCTACAATCTAAACACAGTTAATCATTAACTTAAAGCCTGCTCCATTTTCCCATCATAACAAAACTTTGTTTTCCTGAAATAATTACATATAGATATACAGAACATGAAAGTCTAGTACAGGGGTCAGCAAGTAAATTTGGCATTGAACCAATCTTTTAGGACAAGTTAAGAAAGGTTGTCAGTGTGCCGGGTTAGGTAAATCAGTATAAAACAACTCTCAATCTAAGAGTTGTGTGTTTGACAATAGGTGAATAACTTTTCTCTCACTCTTCAACAACTTAATTCTGAAGAGACTGTTTCACCTGCTAACAATAAAGCATGTGCTGGAGCGTATGCATTTGGGCGTTCCACATGCATTAACCTGCTTATTTTCATTTTCCCAGTAAATTCCTGTGCTTCTCATTCAGGGGAAGCTAATGTCACATTTCCCGATGGCTATTTCAGAGGTGTTTCATTAAAGCCACAAACTCTTTTGAATCTTCTGAAAGGTTCTGAAGGAAATTCAAAAGAGTCTGTAGCTTGCATGATACATCTTTTGAAATAGCCGTCGGGAAATGTAAGAGGCTGATGAATGCATACCAATCGCCGAGATGCACACTCGAACACGTGCTTTATTGTGAGCATGTAAACAGTTTCTTCATTATTAATTTGTTGAAGAGGATAAAAATAAAATATTCACCCACTGTGGGAATCAAACACACATACCTTACATTGAGAGTGCCTTGCTCAACCAACTGACCTAACCAGGGACACTGACAACTAGTGCCCTGTACTAGACTATCTTTTTGTTTTCTCCTAAACTCAAATTAATTATGTCATTATCTTGGGAAAACAAAGTTTTGAGACCTTGAGAAAATGATCCTGTTATCTCGGAGAATTTTTTTTTTATTTTGAGATAATAAATAAATTGAGATCTCAAGAAAACAAATAAAATTAAGTCGTTATCACGTGAAAACAGAGTAAATAAAATTAATAAATGTATGGCCTCTTGGGGCTTCTGTACACATCAAATACAGTTCAATAATATTCCCCACCAACCAATTTTAATTAAAAGAAATCAGCAACAGATCATATAGTTATGATAGTACCTAAAACTGATTGTCCACCTATCCCAAAGAGCGTTATCCCATACCTTTAGATGACAGGCTGTGGCAGTTGGCGTTGAGAGAAGAGTCTTACAGGAACTGTCTTTTATTGTAGAATTAACAATCTGTTTTAGCTGCTAAGAATGCAAATGTCAGAGAACCTTTTTCGTTTACCTCTCTTATACAGGTGGAGATCAGGAAGAACTCAAGCTATCTTCTAAATATGGTAAAACATGAAATACAATTCAGACATTGGTCAAAGCTCAATTCTTCTACGTCAAACTTACAACATGTGATCAGCTACAAGAACTACCTGCTTTTCTAAATAAGCATTTGTTATTTTTAAAACATAAATAAGACTGGTGTAAACAGCTAATTGTGGTGACATTTACATGGGAAATTCAGAAGTGGGAGAATTTGGTCTCGGTTTGGTCAGCAGCTGTGGTTACAAGTGTTGCTTTTCTCTGCAGCAGCACAGCAGTCAGAAAGCCTTGCCAACCACAGAGTTCATGTCATTTTTCCAGACATTCAAACAGAATCACAAACAAAGTTCATTTTTAATTTTCATTCTGTTTTTGTTGTTGTCAATGTTTGATTACTGTCTTTAATTTGGTAATAAATTCCTTTGGTAGAAGAAGAAGTGAGGCTCATAACAATGTTGTCAAAGTTTTTCAAAATATTCGCACAGATTTTCTTTTTTAATTCGAACAGCTTTTAAAACTGAGAAAACTCTACTGTGATTGGTGCATTGCTGCTTGTGGAAGTTCATACAAGCGATGTCACGAGAACCAGTTTGGTAGAAAATCAATACCAAAGTTCTGAAAACATGATGGTACTAGTTTGTTAAGTACAGAAGGTTCTGGGGATCAAACAGGTGAAAGAGGGAAACAAGTGCAGCTGCAGCAACAGCTCCGCCTCATCTCGTCAAAAAGAAAGGGAAGAATAATATATTCACCAAAAACATTATGCAAACGTGCCATCAACTTTTTAGACTAAAGGACTAAAAACACTTTCTACTTAGAGAAACACCTCAGACACATTGAGTGAGTTTCAATTCACATTATATTAACAATGTATCCAAAGCATTATCCTTGTCATATCTTTCTTCTGAAATACCTGGTACAATTACATTTGTTTGAGATTGCTGTGTCACTTAGCCAACTATGTTCCATATGATGTTGGTCAATGGCTATACGCTGAAAGCTACTGTGTTTAGGTTAACGTGATGTAAACACAGCTCATAGTAGTAGGCTACCCTCCTTACCGTCATGCAAAAATAACGTTGGCATTAAAAATGTCCAGTAAGGTATGTTTTGGTTTGCTGTATAGACCCAAGGTAGATGAACAGTCAACTCAGGTAGATCTTTTTTAAAAAGGCAAAGAGTGTGCAAACTTGGCATTAAAAATGAAATTAAAAGCATTTTCATCATGTATACTTTGATATGTCATAGAACAAAGCAAAGGAGCTGTGAAAAGAGATGAATTATTTCTCATTCTATAAAGATATTCTAAAATGAACTGGACGTGTTTGTTGGTCTGAATCTCAGGAAAGATAAGAAATAATTGGATTATGGTGATATTCCAAATTAGTTTCTTTAACTAGTGTAACGCTGGTTCCTCAAAGCGTTAACTAAATCTGTAGTGCTGGTTAGACGTGGGTAAAATAAGAGCACGGGGACAACTTCTTCAAGATAACTGTGTCCACTTGTTTAATGTTCCATCACAAGCCCACGACCGCAGAACACTCACCACAACCGTAAAAGATTGCTTCCTCCTCACATCACTCCGCCAACCTTGACCGGTACCATCTTTACAGGCAAGGTACACCATGTAATGTAGTTCAGTGTTGTAGTCTAGTTTTTTGAAGTGTAGTGAATCAACCAGTGAACACAGTCTTTCACCTCAAGAGGAGGTGAGATCAGATTTACCACAAGAGGCCTCATTCCTAAGAATTGGGCTTTGACATGCAAAGTAAGGACACCGCCTTGGTGTTTATGTAAGGACCCCTGCACAGACTGAAATGGACATGCCAGGCCCCTAGCTTGTGCTCCAGTGGGTGGTGGGAATCGAACAGTAGGTATTGGTCTGTGTGTGTGGGTTTTCTGTAAACACCAATCTGCAGGCTCCTGTCCTCTTCAATGTGTACAGCGCAGTCCAGGAAGGCCAAACTGTTGTTGTGAACATCTTCTCGTGTGAACTTGATGTTACTGTCCACAGAGTTGATGTGTTCTGTGAAGGCTTGCACTTCCTGGCTTCCTCTGAAGGAGTTGAGGGCTTTGTTCTCCACTTCTTCCATGTAGATGTTTGCCACAATCGGGGGCACTTACAGCCTGTGGAAACCCTAAATGGACCTTTGTGAAAACAGCCACAAGATCCAAGAAGAACAAAACTACAGGGGAGGAGGAAAAGAAGGTCAAACGCAACAACATTGTGATTCCATACGTGTCTGGAGTATCAGAGAAAGGAGGATTTTCAACAAACATAACATCCCTGTGTTTTTTAAACCCAAGAACACACTAAGACAGATGCTGGTCCACCCCAAAGACCGCACACCCAAACACAAGAAAAGCAATCTAGTGTATGCGGTCCAATGCAGTGAGGAATGCACAGATGGAGAGGAGGATTTGGCCAATAGTTGTCCTGCTCATGGAACAGCAGACCAGCTCCTCATTCTTACAAGGATCCCGGAGGGGGCCTGGGAGTATGCCTAGCCAGTCTATATGTGCGTTGTGGATCTGAATAAGGCATATGACCGGGTCCTCCGAGTACTATGTAGCTGCACTACCAGAGGCTGCAGTTTCAGGACCACAATCCTAGGACCATAACTGTATTTACAGGACCCTTGTTTACTTTGATACTGCCAGCTAGCTGGCTGGCTAGCTATGTTACTCTTGACAGCCCCCCAGAGCCAATTTCCCTTACGTTAATCATCCCAGGGTGTGTGCCTAAACCTAAGTTTTTAATTATATGCATGTTGTTACAAACCTCAGATTGAAGCCCGGGCGGGGGAGGTAAGTACAATTAATAATTTGTTCCAGGGCAGAAGAAAACAAGAAAACAGGAGGAAGGTAACAAAAAAAGGGATTTGTTTATAATATTTAACAAAAAGAGTCTCTAAATGCACAATCAACAGAAAATAACTTCCAAAAGACTGCACTGACTGGGACGTTTTCAAGAATGCTACCAACAATCTGGATGAGACTGTGACGTCAGCTTCTGTGAGGACAGCTGCATTCCAACACGGACCAGGGTGAGTTATAACAATGACAAACCCTGTCAACCAGGTCTCACCTCCTCCATCACCATCTGGTACGCTGCTGCCACTGCCAGGGACAAGGGCAGGCTGCAGCGTATTATTCGCTCTGCAGAGAAGATGATTGGCTGCAATCTTCACCTTCTCTTCTGGACCTGTACTCCTCGAAGACTCTGAGGCGAGCAGGAAAGATTGCAGCTGACCCCTCCCACCCCGGACACAAACTGATTCAGACTCTCCTCTTGCAGGAGGCTGCGGTCCATCAGGACCAAAACCTCTCGCCACAAAAACAGTTTCTTCCCGTCAGCAGCTAGCCTCATTAACAAGGCCCAGGTCCCCCACTGACACTCCCCCATTGCAAATGATGCAAATGTCTCTGCATACAGTGGGTACGGAAAGTATTCAGACCCCTTTAAATTTTTCACTCTTTGTTTCATTGCAGCCATTTTCCAAAAATCAAAAAAGTTCATTTTATTTCTCAGTAATGTACACTCAGCACCCCATCTTGACAGAAAAAAACAGAAATGTAGAAATTTTTGCAAATTTATTAAAAAAGAAAAACTGAAATATCACATGGTCATAAGTATTCAGACCCTTTGCCGTGACACTCATATTTAACTCAGGTGCTGTCTATTTCTTCTGATCATCCTTGAGATGGTTCTACACCTTCATTTGAGTCCAGCTGTGTTTGATTATACTGATTGGACTTGATTAGGAAAGCCACACACCTGTCTATATAAGACCTTACAGCTCACAGTGCATGTCAGAGCAAATGAGAATCATGAGGTCAAAGGAACTGCCTGAAGAGCTCAGAGACAGAATTGTGGCAAGGCACAGATCTGGCCAAGGTTACAAAAAAATTTCTGCTGCACTTAAGGTTCCTAAGAGCACAGTGGCCTCCATAATCCTCAAATGGAAGACGTTTGGGACGACCAGAACCCTTCCTAGAGCTGGCCGTCCGGCCAAACCGAGCTATCGGGGGAGAAGAGCCTTGGTGAGAGAGGTAAAGAAGAACCCAAAGGTCACTGTGGCTGAGCTCCAGAGATGCAGTCGGGAGATGGGAGAAAGTTGTAGTAAGTCAACCATCACTGCAGCAATCCACCAGTCGGGACTTTATGGCAGAGTGGCCCGACGGAAGCCTCTCCTCAGTGCAAGACACATGAAAGCCCGCATGGAGTTTGCTAAAAAACACCTGAAGGACTCCAAGATGGTGATAAATAAGATCCTCTGGTCTGATGAGACCAAGATAGAACTTTTTGGCCTTAATTCTAAGCGGTATGTGTGGAGAAAACCAGGCACTGCTCATCACCTGTCCAATACAGTCTCAACAGTGAAGCATGGTGGTGGCAGCATCATGCTGTGGGGGTGTTTTTCAGCTGCAAAGACAGGACGACGGTTGCAATCGAGGGAAAGATGAATGCGGCCAAGTACAGGGATATCCTGGACAAAAACCTTTTCCAGAGTGCTCTGGACCTCAATCTGGGCCGAAGGTTTACCTTCCAACAAGACAATGACCCTAAGCACACCGCTAAAATAACGAAGGAGTGGCTTCACAACAACTCCGTGGCTGTTCTTGAATGGCCCAGCCAGAGCCCTGACTTAAACCCAATTGAGCATCTCTGGAGAGACCTGAAAATGGCTGTCCACCAACGTTTACCATCCAACCTGACAGAACTGGAGAGGATCTGCAAGGAGGAATGGCAGAGGATACCCAAATCCAGATGTGAAAAACTTGTTGCATCTTTCCCAAAACGACTCATGGCTGTATTAGATCAAAAGGGTGCTTCTACTAAATACTGAGCAAAGGGTCTGAATACTTATGACCATGTGATATTTCAGTTTTTCTTTTTTAATAAATTTGCAAAAATTTCTACATTTCTGTTTTTTTCTGTCAAGATGGG